ACTTTATACTCTACACAGGTCGTCTTTCCAATATTCTACAAGCACATGTTTATGTATTAATATTGAAATGATTAAACCCAAGATATTGACTTCAAATATGATGTATTTCTAAATAATTTTTTTTTACAGGTGTGGTGTTACATAACTTCCCAAACCCTTCTACTCATTATGACAAGTTTCGTACATGGGTCATCAATGCTGGTCTTGTCGGAGAGGATGATGATTATGTGTTCAGATGCAGAAGAATTTGCCGTCTCCATTTTGAACAAATTTATCACTATCCAAAAAATAGATTGAGTAGATTAGCTGTGCCAACACTGCATCTCCCAGGTATGATGAAATTATTATTTATCTTTTGTTCATTCAGATCGTGATTATGTACTGATCAATAACAATATTAAATTTAAACAATTACATGTTAAAGGATAATCTACAGGATACTAACAAGGGTACATGGGCATGACTGACATCTGAATATTTCATATGCCAGCATATGAAATATTCTGAAGTAATGTCATAATTATAGTTTTAGGTTGAGAAGAATACTTTTTGTTTAAATAAACTATTGACAATAAATTCATTTGCTAATTTTAAAATGATCCTACAGGTGCACCACAAATTGCAACTGACGATAGACCAGTGCCCATGGTGGTAGATGACTTACAACCTAGCACAAGTACCAGTGGCTCCACTATAGGTTAGTCTCTGTCATCTGATATATCAACAGCTTATTGAAAGAGGTCACTAACTGACAAAAACAAAATGCTCAGGGGAGCTGTTTAAAATTTTTAATACCTTTTTATGGAGGAATGAGATTCCACTTAAATAGTATATAAAAAAATTATTTATACCCATTCATTATTTCTAGGTCATCAGTTTGAACACCAATCCAAAAGGCAGCTATATAAAACTATAGCAAAAACAGGTCATCAGTTTGAACACCAATCCGAAAGGGAGCTATATAAAACTATAGCAAAAACACAATGTGAGCTGAAAAGGTGCAAAAAAGCTAAAGTTGGATTAATCCAGAAGCTAAAAATAGCCAGAAAATTCACTCATTCTGAAGCTTACCGAGCTGTGACTAAAAACTTATTACCAGCAGCAAAAACCTTCTTCGACATGCAAATAAGGCAGTCAAAGAAACACCCCAAAGGACACCGTTTTACTTTGGATGAAAAAATACTGGCCTTGTCGTTGTATAAGCCTAGTCCAAAGGCTTACCGGTTACTAAGCCAAATATGTGTTCTGCCGAAGAAAAGCACTTTAAATAAGTTGATGGCAAAAGCATTTTTGTTGCCTGGACCTAATGACGTCATATTTCGACACCTAAAGCAAAGAGTGGATAAAATGCCCGAAAGCCATAAATATTGCACTGTCATATTCGACGAGATGGCCATTGCTGCTAATTTAACCTACGATAAGCTAAGTGATAGCATAAAGGGATTTTGTGACGAAGGGACTGAAAGAACAAAGTCTTTTGCTGACCATGCACTAGTTTTCATGATCAGAGGAGTATTTAAAAAATATAAACAGCCCATCGCATTTAGTTTTTGCTCTGGAACAACAAGTTCCTCCAGCTTAAAAAAGCAAATAAAACTTATTTTAAAGAAAATAATTGGAACTGGACTAAAGGTACTTTCAGTCACATGTGACCAGGGCTCAACAAATATGGCAGCAATCAATTTATTGATTAAAGAAACTAAAGAGGAGTATGTAAAGAAGAACAAAGAATTTAAAGGTGGCTTTTTTGAAATTGACGAAAGAATAATTTACCCCATTTATGATCCGCCACACCTTATGAAAGGCATAAGAAACAATCTAATCACAAAAAATTTAGAGTATGTCCTAGATGGCCAAAAACGCACCGCAAAATGGGCTCACTTGGAGACTTTATACAAAAGAGCCCCTAGATATAAGGGACTACGTTTAGTTCCCAAATTGACGGCGCGACATGTGATCCCGAAACTCATCCCTAAGATGAGAGTAAAATACTGCACACAAGTGTTCAGTAGAACTGTCAGTGTGGCCATGGGATTCATAGCAGGTAAACATATAAAATATTTAGAAATTATAATTTCTTGTAAATCAAATGTCTAAGTATATTCAATTCATTTTTTTTTTTAGAAACTGGCCAGATCCCTCAAGAAAGCACCGACACAGCTGAGCTGTTATTATTTTTCGACCGTTTATTCGATTCAGTTAATGGAAACTACAACAAAATTGTGAAAGGAAAAGTGTACAGGTCTGCAGTCTCACCAAAATCGCCACATAACAAATTATGGCATAAGAGTTTGCCTGTTCTAAAGAGCATGAAGTTTATTAGTGCACAAGCAAAGCCAAAGGTGGTACCGTCTATTACTAGCTGGATTAAAACATTACAAGCATTTCAGCAAATAACTAAAAAGTTACACAGCTTAGGTTTGCGATCTGTGCTGCTGCGCAATTTCAACCAAGACCCGCTTGAGAATTTCTTTGGCTCGATACGGGCTCATGGGCAACGAAATGTAATGCCAACGTCAAATTTATTTGAGGCTTCGTACAAAGCACTCTTAATTAATAATATGGTTTCGCCTAAGTCGTTAGGGGCTAATTGCGAGAGTGATGACTGTCATTGTTTGCAAAGCTTAAAATATTTTTTAACTCAAAACATCTCCAGGCCTTTACCTAAAGCAATAGAAATTGATAGCAATCATTTAAATATACAACTAACAAATGTTGAAAATTTATTAAATAATGAAAATCCAAGCGCAATTGAAAAATGTGCAGCAGCAGCATACTGCTGTGGATGGCTGTTAAATTTAGTTTCCAAAAAAATTACCCATAATTGTACACAGTGTAAAAATGTGCTAGAAGGGGATAGTGAAGAAAAGTATCAAAAATTCATAACTTTGAAAAAAAATACGAGTACAACTATTCTTCACTATCCCAGCAAATGTTTGCTGGAGTGCTTGATACATATTGAAGAGATAACTATAGATATCTTAAAAACTAGGTGTGAATCGACGCAAATTGTTAATTATATAGAATTAATTACCATCTCGCTTGTTTCACTCGATTTTATTAAATGCAATAAACATGAGATAAAGTTAAAAAAGTTTATTTTAAAAAGGAGCATTTTCTTCATTTTGTATAACTGGTGCAAAGATGTCAATAGTTTGTTAAGTGGCAAAAACACAGTGTGGGACGAAAATGACCCGATCAAACAATTAGCGCACAATTATTATGTACGACACAAAAAGAAAAAATAAAATATAATATGACTTGCGCTTGTTTTCTTTCATTATCTTTTTTGTAACATAATGTTAAGTTTTAATTTCGTTACTTTTTGTTTTTTTTTACAATACAGCGTAAAAAACGAAAACTAACGGAATTAAAATTTAACATTTTGTTACAAAATAAGTAATATTTCATTTGGTTACGTAAATAGATAGATATATATATATATATACCTACGTATAGCCCAGCGTATAGGTTTAGTACGAGGTAGTTTGGGTCTTGTAAACTAGATGACGCCACTTTAATGAAAACCTTAAGATGGCCATCTATACTTTAGTACATATATTCATCTAGGGTGTAAAATACCACGATCACTACCCAAGATGGCGGAAAGGCTACCTGCGCCTGCAGCAGCCAATCACAGCAAGGAAACAAAAATGACAAATGTCATTATTCATTAAAAAAGATGGCCGCTATTGCGAGCGGTTTTCTATAGGTAGATTACCGGCCGTGTTGTAAGCAGCTTCGGCTGAACGACTTTGTTTCCATGACCAGCAATATATTAAAAAAAAAAAAGTATTGTAAGCAATTTTGCAATGCTGGCTCGTTCATCATACTCGCCCTCGCACCTTGCAAGTCCTCATAAGTGAAAGAGAATGTAATCAGTTATCACTACGTTCTCAGAAGTCAGAAGTCACTGGTCCTCTCACGCTCAATACAATTGTTCGATTTGGTCAACCTGACCTGTATTAGTTTCATTGTAACTTTCCTTGTTTTCTTTTCAGCGCACCTAAGACTTAAAAACCTATTATAATACAATCAAGTCCTAAATTGTATTTCTACAGATATCTACAGAAATGGCTGAGTAAGTATTAATTCAGATTATATAATATAATATTTCCTAAAAACCATACCTTTTTATTTGTTTGGATTTTATACATATTAAGAATTAATTAATTTATCCTTTTGAGGCTTTACATTAAAATGATAATGCAGATACACACAGTTATGCACTTATATGATGAATTGTTTATCCTAAAGTACACAAAATGTGCATTACGTATAATTTCTTTTCAATATCATGATCGAAAAGTTTATTTATAGTTTCATAGCCTATTTGGCTTATTTAATGTGTGAAAATAACTTTAACAATATGTGCCATGTGTTTGTCCTATAGGGGCTGTTAGTAGATGATGAATAATGACTAAATTATCCAGGTGATGTGCTTGCCTTACAATAATTAATTTAAAAAATAGTAATGTAATGTTGGAAAGTTGATATGACAAGGTTATTTGAAGGTGAATTATACATTTCAATGTCATGCACTTGAATGTTAATCAATTCTCTTTGCATATTTATTTATAAAAAAGAAATTTAAATTCGTCTTAAAGTATAGTAATATGATATTAGCTATTATTTACTTAGTAACATTTTGTATGTTCTTAAATTAATCATGCATGGTCTGATTACTAACTGATTCCCCTTTGCAGTTTTGTTGTTTGTTTGTCTGTATATGTCACAGGCCTTTAATACTCACTCATTTAAGCCTGTTTTGTCAAGAAATTTGATGAGAAAAAAATATATATGAATAACCAATAAAACTTAAATTAATAAAAAGTTTGTTTGAAATCCCTTTTAACAAAAAGGTATCTTGTAAGTAACAAAAATCTTCATCCTGCGGTAGGTTGAATTCAGTGATACGTTGTTGGATAGGTCTGAGACATATTTATGTTAAATACTATAGTTGCAAAATTTTTGCTATTAAAGGAGTTTTTAGAGTTACCTTAAATTTTGATGTACTAATGCAATGAATATGAATAATTCTGGAAATGTGCTTCTTATTTAATTTTTTCAATAACAATTGTAAAGGACACTGGTACCTACACATTCTTAGTGAAATTCTCTGAAATGTCTGAAAAAATTTAGTGCTTTTTAAAGACTATGAATATAATTATTTATTTAATTTTTAATTGTTGTAGGTCTAAAGCTGATATTGCCCTTATTGGACTGGCTGTGATGGGCCAGAACTTGATTTTGAACATGGACTCTCATGGATTTGTTGTTTGTGCATTTAACAGAACCGTTTCTAAGGTAATGAAATAAAATGTATTTCAATGCTTTAACCACTTAATAGTAGATGGTTTTACAGGAGTTTCATAAAATATTTGTAATGGCTTATTATGATTAAACTGTTTGAAATTTTCATGCCTTGTATGTTATAATATAATCCTCAATAGGTCATAAAATTTTTAGGTTAATGAATTTCTTGCAAATGAAGCTAAAGGAACTAAAATAATTGGAGCAAAATCACTGGAAGACATGGTCGCAAAATTGAAGAAACCTAGGAAGGTTATGTTACTAGTAAAGGGTAATTATTATTTAATGTAATCTTTATGAATTGAAATGAAAAATTGGAATTTTTTCTAAAGTCTAAGTCTGAATCCTTTTTATTTTTAGCTGGTTTTGCTGTAGACGAGTTTGTGAAGAAGTTAGTGCCTCTGCTAGAGAAGGGTGACATTATTATTGATGGTGGGAACTCCCAGTATACTGACACACAGCGTTGGTGTAAGGAGTTGGAGCCCACTGGTATCTATTACATAGGCATGGGGGTAAGTGTTGAAAATGTAATTGATGTAATTCATCATTAAAACAATACCTGTTTTATTGAGTAACATGAAATTAGGGAAGTCTGATTCAATAATTCTAGTTTGAATTACAAAGAGTGTTTTTCATTTAGTAATAATAGTTACATTGTAGAACACAATATTATGTAGTGTCATAGTAAGCCAATATTTTTGTTCTAAACAAGATGTGTATTCAATTGCCATGTGTATTGTGCACTAGCAGTAAAGATTGAAAGTTTCTGCATTATAAGTTGTAAATTTTTTTTATTTCTCCACTTTTATTTGATAAAATCTTCTAGGTAAGTGGAGGGGAAGACGGTGCTCGATATGGGCCTTCGCTGATGCCTGGTGGTCACCCTGCTGCGTGGCCTCACGTCAAACCCATTTTTCAGGTTTGTTCCTCCACATTTATGATAATTTATAGGTATTCAAGTGGTTGTCACTGTTATGTTATTCAGTATTTAAATATCTGAAGTTTGTATAGATTTTCGTTATTCTACTGTATGTATCATTACATTTTAATACCTAACTACACACAAGTAATATTTTTAGGCAATCTGTGCCAAAGTCAACAATGAGCCTTGCTGCGACTGGGTAGGCGAAGATGGCGCGGGACACTTTGTCAAAATGGTCCATAACGGAATTGAATATGGAGACATGCAGCTCATTTGTGAAGCTTATCATATTATGAAGGATGTGTTGGGTATGTTATAAATATGTATATTAAATTACAGGGCTTATGTGGTAAGTGGTTATGTTTGACTAAGTAACAGTCATAACCATAGCCACTGACAAAAAGCCCGCGATGTCGCCGATGAGTCTTTCGCTTATAGAAAGCTGTTACTTGGATTATTTTTGTTGCCATTTAGAAATTAAATAAACCAAGTCAAATGAATATTTGTCATTGTTGTTTTACAGGAATGCAGCAAGAGGACATGGCACAAGTTTTCGACGAATGGAACAAGGGAGAATTGGATTCTTTTCTAATCGAAATCACTCGGGACATTTTAAACTTTAAAGATGCGGATGGTATGTAAATTGACTCTATTTTCAAATGAAATATGAGTGATTCGTGTTGCGTTATTTTACCTCAAGGAAAAGCCGTAACGGATGTTTGAGGTAAAATTGTAAGTATAATTACTGGCTAACTAGTTACAGACGCATCAACACTAAACTATTACTCGTTTTATAAACTACACTTAATGATTTACGTAGTAAATCTAATAATCTAAAGTATCATTTATAACTATAATTATTCGTTCTTGAATTCAGTAATGCTTGCAATTAAATATAGATTATGATGAAATATTTAGGATTTCTTTATTCTGGCTCTAAATGAAAGTTTATAAGGTACATACTCAAAAGTGCATGTAAAAAAAACACTGAGGTACCTTTACTTTCGTATAGACATGTGTAGTAAAAGTTTCGTATCTGCATACAAGTACTGATAACAGTCACTTCAACGTTGTATTATCATTTCCACCCAACTTTTTTTAACGCTTTTAAAGTGCGTAAAGCTTATGTGTGACAGGTAAGTACCTACTGCCGAAGATCCGTGACGCCGCGGGACAGAAGGGCACGGGCAAGTGGACCGGCATCAGCGCGCTGGAGTATGGCGTACCTGTCACGCTTATCGGCGAAGCTGTCTTCGCGCGATGCCTCTCCGCTCTTAAAGGTATTTTTTTACATACTTCATTTTTGTTTGCTTTGCCGTAACAACTGACTGCGACTTTAAAAAAGCAATCTGCAATTATAGGTGTGATAACTAACATCTGCAGTGCACTTTTCTCACTTTCTTTTATTATCTAGTTACTAAACCATTTATATTCAATGTTTTTATTTTCTTCTTTGTTTAACAGTAAAAGTCGTTAATTTAAAATCTTTGGAGGAATGTACAGGGTCAAAAGCTTGCTTGCATAAGATTTAAAGAGCTTTCAATAACAACGATCCAAAACCCAACGTATCAGAGCTTATACTGTACCTATTATATTATAGACTGTACCTATTTTATACATTAGCAGTACGACTTATACGAGTTTTTCTTCACCCAAAACAGAGGAACGCGTGAAAGCATGTAAGGTTCTCCCAGGTTGTACATACAATTTCACTGGTGATGAGAAGGAATTCTTGGAGCATTTGCGTAAAGCGCTTTATGCGAGCAAGGTCATATCCTATGCGCAAGGATTCATGTTGCTCAGAGAAGCTGCTAAAGTGAGTGGTGGCACAAACAACGTGTCAAACAAAGTTCTTTTACGTCATGAGTACATTCAGCGCCAAAATGCTCTGTCATATAAACAGCCACAAGTAACTTAATTGAAACTGATATTCGTTTCAGAACTGTTTATTCATATAAGGTTTGCTCTTATATTTGCATATGTTTTGTGTTAGTTACATCGGATGATTTTGACGCTGCCTGTACAATCGACACTCCTTTCGGATGTTTCAGTTCTTTTTAATGTATACACTTTTTCTTGACTCCTTTGCTTTGACTTTCACCCCTGCTATCAGGTCTTTGTCACTATAAAATAATTGATCATTCTTTTTGAACATGCCTATTTAATTATTCGTGATGAATATTATCTTAAAGATAATTTATATTATCACATCACAATTTGGTGAGAACATTTAAAATATGTGTTTTAGGTTAACAAATGGAATCTTAATTACGGAAGCATAGCGTTAATGTGGCGTGGAGGTTGCATTATTAGGAGCGTTTTCCTCGGCAACATTAAGGTAAAGTAAATTGATTTCCTGATATTGTTTAGTGATAACTGTACAAGCCACTCAAGAGTGCTACGTTGTTTTCGCTTATTGATAAGCAGTGATCGGTATTGAGTTGGTTACATAACCTAAAATTCGAGTAATGTAAAGAATAATGTGGATATTCCCTTTTAGAAGTCCCGGAACTTAAGAACTGATTATTATATTTGTATATGTGTACTGTAGATATATTTGAGCACATTGGCGACAAATTATTATTTTTTATTGAGCATTTGCCACAAATTATTCTCTCAAAAAATAATATTGTAGTTGTGTTTCTATAGGTAGGACTTACTTAGCAAAAGGTTTTTTTTGCTTTGCACGCATATTCGTTGTAGAAACAAGTAACTACTACCTCTTTCACACAGCATAGAAAGCAGTAACTGCTATCTCTTTCACACGATACGAAAACAAGATAAGAAAAACTATAGAAACCATTGCCGTTATTAAATATTGGCGGTTTCTATTGTTTCACATCTTGTTTTGCTAAGACTGCTCTACAATGTTAGTTTTATTTGGAAACACCTATATTCCCAGGATCTAGACCAGTATTAATTTTTTTTTAAGAATATGTCTATATTAATTTTATTCATCGTCTAAATTTTATATGCATTGATACCGTAATATGAATCCCGGTACTTATTTGGTCATATCACGAAGTGGGTATGTTCGTACTAAGAAAACGTTGAAACTTTAGGTAAATTAACTCCCTCAGTTCCGATCACTGTTGATAAGTTATGGTAAATTCCCTTGCTCTACGTCAAGTGTAAAATATTATACATCGCTATATAAGTTAGTAAGTGTATGATATGTATTTATCTACTTTTATTGACCCATATACACCCTCTTGCTGATGTCATCGTTCAGAACCTCGTCACGAGGTATAATACTATGCGAGTAAAACTTGAACACGTCGACGATGTGATTTGTTTTGTTTAACCTTGATCGTTGCATTCGATTTGCAAATGGTTCACAACCAACAACATATCGTGCCACTCCAATGTGACCGCCAATTGTTATCGAAACTTGCGACACGTCGATAATAGCTTCCTAACAATGTCAAGGCCAGAACGTGGAGCTTGAGGGGGGTCGATTTGCACTATTTACTACGTGAAGTTTTCTAAGATACAGATAAGTAGGGTGCCATTGAAAAAATCACAAGAAAGGTTCACAGGCCATTAATTTTCTGACACTAACTACACCTAAGGAAGCAGTCTCTAGTTAAAATAATAATGATAGCTGTGATTAGGGTCGCTTTACACCGTACACGAACGAAATCTCGCATGAAGCAGCTCAACTACTACTGAATTGTGTTTACCGAAAGCTACTATTTAGGGTTACTCAAGGCGTGAATAGGTATTTACTAGACAAACGCATAACGTCGTCCACCACATAGTCGCTTAACATCAGGTGAGG